ACTGCGGCTGGCGCCGTTACGGTGGGGTCACGCAAGTGAGACCTCCCTCTGCTCCGTCCGAGCGTCTGAGCTGCTTGGGTAACACCAGTCATCAGCTTGTGGACAGGGAGCAAAGTCACCGGTGGTGGGGCTGCAGCCCCGTGCCTTGCACCCAGCTCCCTAGACCTTGCAGGCCAGACCGCTCTGCTGCGGGGCCGCTCCTGGGAGCGGTTTGAGCTGAACGGGATCTTATTCTCAAACGAGAACCGAATTTGAAACGCTACTTTGAAGTTGCTGTGGAACCTAATCTGCAGCTGAATTAAAAACAGTGTTTTCTGGTCGTGATTCAACTAAAACCTGCCACAGAACGTGAGGCAACTTCATCTTTGCAAGTCCTGCATCAATCCAGCCCCACTGCCTGCCATATCCCTCACTGTCTCCGCTGCTTCCCACCCCTCAAACCCAAGCCTCCCCACCAGCCTCTGGCCTTCCCTACCTGCAAACCCCCCTCGTCCTGCCGGCCTGCCCAAGCTTGAACTGCTTGTGGCATGTGACATAGTTACCAAACAATTACTGAAATGAACTGGAAACCAACCAAAATTATGTCAATCATAACTCTCCCCAGTCCGGAACTGAACTGAAAAATTCATTGGTGTATCTGGTGGGCAGAGTCCCGCTCGCTATCTCTTGTAGCCCAGACCTTGGGGATCTCCCAGTGGAAATACGGTGACCCTGATATTGCCTGGTTAAAGATACCCATCTAACCATTTCCTGCTCTGCTTCCCCTGCTGGGTTGGGATTTGGTATCCCTCCTCTCTCGGCTCAAAACAGTTGCAGAACGTTGCTGTGAGTTGTGAAATGCCTGCTGAGGTCCGCTGCAGAGGTGGCTGCGTTTCCGCCATGAGCACAGTGAGCTTAAGTACGCGTGGTCTCCGGCCGGCTTGGTGGAAGCAGACGGCAAGCGCAGCTCGCTGCTTAGCACCGCGGGAGCAGCTGCATGCAGCGCTCCCTCCGATGAAGGTCAAGAGACCTCGGGGCCAGGGCTGTTTCCTGTGGCTCGTGCTGGCTCCAGGGCAGGTGGTAGCTGGGTGCACGGACCAGCCCCCCGGGACCTGTTTTCGATTGTCTTCCCAGCTTTCCTAGGAGGTGGCTGGCAGATACGAGACCCCAGGGTGAGCAGCCTGGCCCTGAGTCACGGGCCGCTGGGCTCTTGCGCCACGTGCGGACGCGTCCTCCCCAGCGGAGAGCAGGGTGGAGCAGGCTTGGGGGCAAGGGCCTTGCAAAGCCTGCTGTGCCCCCAGGGTGAGCAGCCTGGCCCTGAGTCACGGGCCGCTGGGCTCTTGCGCCACGTGCGGACGCGTCCTCCCCAGCGGAGAGCAGGGTGGAGCAGGCTTGGGGGCAAGGGCCTTGCAAAGCCTGCTGTGCGCAGGGGTGAGGGGGGCACCCTCTTTGCGTGCCAATGATAACACCTTCTCCTTCCTTTTTTGCAGACTGCTCTCAGTGCTTTTTTCCAAGAAACAAACATCCCCTACAGCCACCACCATCAAATGGTAAGTGCCTCCCCGCTTTTTCAGCGCTCGCCTGGAGCGCGGTACCAGCTGGCGGGCACTTCTGGGCTGTTGCTAATGGCCAGCGTGCTGCTTCGCAGTGCTGGGCGCGCAGGCCTGGCTGGGCGCTGGCAGAGCTGCCGGCCGAGGCAGGTTGTCCTGGAGAGCAGCCGGGCTGGGCTGTTTCAGAGCTGCCCGTGGCTGCTGGGGCCGGGCCCGCC